ATATTGATAGGGTGCTGGATAGAGGTTGGGTATATTGATAGGTTGCTGAATAGAGGTCGGGTATATTGATAGGGTGCTGGATAGAGGTTGGGTATATTGATAGGTTGTTGGATGTAAACGGGGTGATACAGACATTATTCACTGCCTACGACTAGTCGCTAACCATTCAAATGCATCTATTCCTCTCCGTTGCCATGGCAACCGCCCGCCCCAGCCGCTGTTCTCGGCCGAGCGATACCACATCCTGGAGCAGAAGATCGTCGACTACATCGACAGGAAGCGCCGGTGGACGCTGCTGATTCTGCTGAACGACCACATTGTGTGTGCCAAGAAAGTGAGCAACGTCAGCAAGTCCAAGGAAACCCAGTATAAACACCTGTGGTCGTCGTCACTGGCCAATGTGGTGCTGTCCAAGGGCAGCTCAACTGACATCCGCTACGACAAAGGTGGGGAAGCACACACACACGTGTGAAGTGCTCGTGTTGTGTGTGTGTTTGGGTGACTATACGTCTCTCCGTGTGAAGTACTCGTGTTGTGAGTGTGGGTGGGTGACTATACGTCTCTCCGTGTGAAGTGCTCATGTTGTGTGTGTGGGTGGGTGAATATACGTCTCTCCGTGCGAAGGGCTCATGTTGTGTGTGTGGGTGGGTGACTATGTGTCTCTCCGTGTGAAGTGCTCGGGTTGTGTGTGTGAGTGACTGAATGGGGAAAGGTATTCACTGTAAAGCGGGAAATGGTCTCCAGAGGTGATATACTGAGACGTTGCTAGTAAACCTCGACCCATACGCCTCTCTCTCTCTCAGTGTGTCTGTGTGTGTACTGGAGTGTGTGTCATATGCAATACGTCTACCCTCTACACCGCCAGTTGTTTGTCTTTTGCCTGCGTATTCCCCATGTGCGTGTGTGTTGCGTGGCTGTGGGTGTGTGCGTCCACATTGACTGCGCATGCGTTGACCAACACACATGATAAACATGACATGGTCCACACACCCTACAGTCTCATTCTCACATGTAGTCACACTCGACATTAGCCCGCAGGCTTACCCACCTGCCTTGGAGTCGTATTCCTATTTCCTTATAACTCGCTTCCTTATCACCATACATCTTGTATGGTGTTCACACTGCCCTATAACTTGTAGTCGAAGTCCTATCACCATACATCTTGTATGGTGTTCACATTGCCCTATAACTTGTAGTGAAATTCCTATCATCATACATCTGGTAATGGTGTTTCCATTGCCCTACATGTGCATGTACGTAAGGGTCACATGCTGTGTACATATCCAACAAGTCCTCAAGATCGTGCACATTCATGTTGGACCCACAATTCCTTTTTGGTCGCGTTTGTACATATGATATACATACATCACGCGCCGAGGTACACGGACTACAATCACGTGCGTCAGCGCTTAATGTTCTCTCCATTCCTCTCCGTCAGTGCTGCTTTTGCATCTCCGCTGTTGTACTTAAACCACACTCACGTATGTCATGCGCTTAATACTCTCTCCATTCCTCTCCGTCAGTGCTGCTTTTGCATCTCCGCTGTTGTACTCAAACTGCACTCACGTGTGTCATGCGCTTAATACGCTCTCCATTTCTCTCCGTCAGTGCTGGTTATGCATCTCCACTGTTGTACTTAAATTACAATCACGTATGTCATACGCTTAACACGCTCTCCACTTCTCTCCGCCAGTGCTGTTTATGCATCTCCGCTGTTGTACTTAAAAC